TTGGTTTACATCAATAGTTTTATGCAGCAAAGTGACTATATTTTTCTGCAGTTTTAGATCAATAACTTTTAAACGAATAATTGGATCCAAATAAACTTTAGCATGAATATTTATTATTGTTTGATCAGTAAATGTTTAAAATTTAATTTAATTCTTAATGTACTTCCCCATCAAATTTGCAAATAAATTTTACATAAAAATCAAAATTAACAAAAAAAATTAAAGAACTTTTAAACCAATAAGAGAATGGTGCTCAAATTTTACACAGATATTTAAACGTTGTAATGAAATCTGAAAAATTTTTTTATTTTTGGTAATGTTTTGATACATCCTTATATTAGATCAGCTTGATTTTTTATAATAAAAACATATCAAAGAAAATAATATATTTATCGATTATAAGAGAAGATAATGAAAAAATCTGAGATGCATTCTATCTATTATATCGCATGCATAAAAGTGGAAAGACTGTAATTTCTCCTATCTCTAATTAAACATAAATCATCGATATTCGCAGGTAGTCGAATCCATAAATATTAACCGATTTATTGCCGCCGCCGAATACAATTAACCGTTCGAAAAATATCGAATGTCATAAATCAGACTTGCGCCTCTATCCACGCGTATCGTATCCTCGTATGTAAATCTGGGTATCTGAACCAGTTTCCATCTCTGATCGATGCGGGATGGCGACTACGATACCAGACGATCGGCGGGCCAGATCGCGATGTGACGGCGACGACGAAGTTGCGGCGACGTAAACCAACGTGGAAAAAACGACGCAGAGAGTTATAACCGTCGATGTAACGGGAGGAAGGAGCCCGTCTCTTCGCTTGAACAAGCGGCAGCGACAGCGATGGCCTCGAGGGCCGAACGTGGCGGAATGGGGAGATCCCCGACTACGATCGCGCGATAAGATGCAGCGGCGTTGTCGGTTGACAAAGGGTCGTAGGAACGCCTACTCAGATCGGACGCACAACCGCTTGCGGGGGCGTCCATATTAAAATCTCCTCCCGTCTCCTCCCTTCATCCCTTACCTTCATGCCCTGCCATCGGGACCCCCGGTCCCGTGATCTTGTTTATTACCCGCAACGTACCGGTTGCCAGAAAACGCAGCGATCCTTTTCTAATGTATGCTGCAACTGGCTTGAAGTATGACGTTTAGACCGTTTAGACGACTACTCACTCTACTTATGGATTAGCATTGTTATTATAGCTTTTAATGATTAGAACTTTTATAATGTTACAAAATTACGATTTTTATTGTTAAAAAAGTTAATTTTGCTTTTTTGTATTCAGTAAAATAGCTACAAATTGATATATAAACATAAAAAAATACATTTATACATATCTTAAACTTAATCTATTTTCTCATTTTCAAAAATTGCGTAACAAAATTATACGTAATGATTAATTGTTATTTTGACATTTAATGAATTCTACATGTAAATCGTAAAATTCCAAATACAATAGAAAGTGCGATAAAAATCCATTGAAAAATATAATAAGAAATGCAATAAAGATGCAACAAAATATGAAAACAATTTTTTTTAGATCTAATGATTATATATATGTTTATCTAGAATAATTTTATGTATCTATAATTTTAATTATAAAAATTTGAATGCAAATATTATACAGGCATAATATTTTTCACACAAGAGAATTTGATGATAAATGGATGAAAATAATTAAATAACTAAATAAAGCACATATATAAATTCGTGTTGGTAAGAAACTCGAAAATATGACTCATGCTGCACTCTAGAACAGATCTCTTCAACTTGTTTCTGTCAGAAAGTAGTATCTGTTGAGCAAATGATAATGCTTTTTTTATTTTGTGCAATCAAGATATTGCATTTCAATTAATTGCATATATATATAATACATTACATTAATAAAATATACATTGTTGTTATATTTAAACAAAAATTAGAATCAAATTTTTATCTTTACTCTTCCATTTGATTTGGCAGTTGCCGCATGGTGGAGTTGCTTGCCTGATTCTTTGTTTATATTTTATATTGGTTTATATTTACGATTGAAGAGTGTTAATTCGTGTGTTACGATTCTAATAATTGATCGCAATTCGCATTTGTTTTATTTTTCTTTTTTATTACTCGCATCGCCAAGATGTTTCCATGTAGCTCGCAAAGAAAATATTGGATATTTAGCGATGAAAGCGAATTAACCATGTTGAGGGAGAAAACTAATGCTGATTTTATCGAAAAGCATGGTGCAAATATGACTGTGAGTCTACTTTTTCAGAACTACTCACTTAGAACTGTGGTTTTTTCAAACAACAATATTTGCGAATCTATTTCTGTTGTATTTCTGATTACCGAGACTAAATATTGTCGATGAAATTCTAGGTTATGTAGGCACAAATAAACATATAAGTATGTGTATAAAATATTGCTCTTATTATTAATTTAATACAATTTACTCCACTTTTCCTAAATATCTCTGTAATGATAAATTGATTAAAATAATGATTAATACAATTATATGAAAGTATAATAACAAATGCTATAGTTACAAGTGTTTAATCAGTTTAATTACAACACAGCCAGAAGAAAAGGAGGAATATTTTCTCTCGCATTTAGAAGAGCGTACATTACTCCGTTTTTATGAATTACAATTAAGAGACTTCTGTCGTCGATTCAATCCACCAATGCCTCGTGCTACTGTCGCCACTGCCTTACATTATTTTAAAAGGTTTTATCTCAGAAACAGTGTAATGGATTATCATCCAAAAGAGATTTTGGTCACTTGTGTTTATCTAGCGTGCAAAGTAATTATTCTCCTTGATATATATATTTTTTATAGTCATTTGTAATTTCAATCTTTTCATATGAAAAATACTCTTATTTTAGGTTGAAGAATTTAATGTCTCTATATCTCAATTTGTAGCAAATATTAAGGGAGATAGAGAAAAAGCATCTGACATAATTCTTAATAATGAATTACTTCTCATGCAACAGTTGAATTATAATCTTACTGTTCATAATCCATTTAGACCTGTGGAAGGATTGATGATTGACATAAAGGTTTTGATATAAGGATATTATTGATGTATGTTTTCCTATGTGTGACAGAAATAAATATGTTATGCATGTTTTTATAGACAAGGTATACATCTTTGGAAAATCCTGAAAAATTAAGGCAACACATAGATGAATTCTTGGAAAGAGTTTTTCTAACAGACAGTGTTCTTCTTTACGCTCCAAGTCAAATTGCGTTGGCTGCGACTTTGCATGCAGCATCCAGGGCTTCTGCAAACTTAGACAATTATGTTACCGACATACTCTTTTCGAGAGAACAATTGGGTGGGATTATAGAAGCTGTGCGAAGTAATTATATTTTGTGTATTGCATGATATTTGTATATACTGTAACTACATAAGCTATTCATCATTACAAATCAATTCTTATAGAAATACGTTCGATGGCTAAATGTGGGGAACCACCTTCACGAGAAGCAGTAAAAGCTTTAGAGAAGAGATTAGATAAATGCAGAAATCAAGAAAATAATCCTGATAGTGAAATGTAAGTATATTTATATATAAGTTCAATATTATTTTTTAAGATCATCCGTATAAGTTTAGAAAATTTTAGATACAAACAGAGAATGCAGGAAATGCTGGCTGAAGAGGATTTACAGGATAATGAAAAATATGCAAAAATTATTCAGGATCAGGCAGCTCATGATGATAAAATTTTGGGAGTTAATAACATTTTATCTCCCTCTGTTCCGTGATAATAAACTTTGTTATAATAATAAATATTTCTTCTTATATAATCCAAAAACAATAATAATATTAGGACTCTTGAATATTAAACAATATAACAAACAAAAAACATAGTAGGCTAATGAGAGTCAACCTTTCGACTCTCTTTGGAGTCCTCCTCGGCAAGAATAGGTCTGCTCGCGTTGCATGAAATCCCCAAATATTTTTGCACTTAAAATGAAATAGATACATATTTTGCCTTAAAAAGAGAGAAAGTGAAGATGTCGAATACCAAAAGTGCAAGCAACGCGAACAGACCTATTGATACAATTCCAATTAGCTCACATGTCCGCAATGCTTAAGTCACTCACAATATGTCTCTTCGTATATAATCCTACACAAAAAATTTATATTCCTTGTATAGGAAAAATTGTATAAAATATTTTGTAATTTTATTTTTTCTAAATTTTATATTTTATATTTTATATTTTTTTCATTCTTATAAGTCAGATTTTACAGCAATATTCGTCTCTATTTAAAAATATGTAAATATTTTCTTTTTGCTCATTTTCCTTGAAAAAAGTCAAGTTACAAATATATTATATTTATATAAGTTTACATACAATATTAAGAAATTATTTTATGCGTGTACTATATGTATATCCTTATTATAAATGCATACGTGAAAAGATAGTTGTACAAATACTAGCAATTTATTATTTTTATTTTACACATGCTTTTCATCGCCGAATTTTGTAATAAATACATTTGCTCAAGAAGTGTTTTGTGCTAAAAGCAGTTTATTTATATTAGCTTATATTATATTTCCTATCCAAGTAAAAAATATATTTAAATTATAATCTAATATCTTTACATTTCAATATCTTATCATGAAATGATTTAATCTTTTGGAGATGTGATGAATCTGTGTATATTGGTCATAATAAGAAGTAACCACAATAAACTTGATTTTATTTGTTTTAAAAAATATATCTCGGTTGCGCGCTCTATGATCTAAGAAAACATGGATTGCTCAAAACATTTCTTTCATCTATTTCTCATCAAGCATACGAACTTATTCGAATTTATTTTAAAATTAAAAAATATTCATAAACCTATATGTTTAATGAAAATATAGATATTTCATATAATTTAACTTTAGTGAAAAATTAAAATAATATTTCATATAATTTAACTTTACTAAAAAATTAAAATAATGTTGAGATTATACATATATTACGTAATCGATCGATATCTTGATACGATATGAAAAAAAGTACGCTACTTGTAGCAATCGTTATCACTAGCAAACAAGTCTTTCATAGCCTCGTATTGCATATCGTAAAGAATTATTAATTAATTATAAATGACTCGATCATTACTAATAATTTTGGAGACGAATTTACTCAAAAGCTAAGGATCATGATGCCTGAAGTCCAATCTCTGAGTTAGATGATGCGAGAGGTGACTAGTTGGTACGTTTTGAAAGATGGATGTTTGTTGCCTCATCGATAGAGTACTGGGCAATGGTTGAATAATAGGTAACGTAGGGGGTAATGGCAACGGTGTTAAATGCTGCGGAAATGGTACTCCTGATTGTGCTTGTCCCGGATAGTTGAAAAACCTGCAAGAAAACATATGTTAGTGTATACAAAATGTAATTTATATTTAACTAATTAAGAAGAAGATTGTATTTGCGAAATTATTCAGCAAAATTATTCATCTTTGTATTTGTTTTTAATATTACGGAATCATTGTGTCTAAATCACCTTTTTTATTTTTTTTCTTATGTGATTGAGTTGGGTCAGTTTTTTTCCTTAAATAAGTTTTGTTTAAATTTTAATTATAATTTGGAAAAAGTATTTTTCTGTAACTTTGACTTCTCATAGCTTTTGACGAAATTATAATTTTATTTAAAATTTAAAATCAATCGATCAAATTATATCAATTTTTGTTCTAATATTTTCTATTATTTAAAAAAATAAAACTATATTTTTTATACGTAAGATAATAAGTGGCTTAAAATTATAAAAGGAACTAATAAGGAGCATATAGCCACAACGCCAGTTATAAGTAGCAAAAATATATTCAATTTAAATCAAATAAACGTTTCGGTAAAATTCTGGTTGATAATTTATATATTGTTTAATATGAAATTTGATTGTACTGATGATGGTCAGATAGTGACCGAAACTTTTTTATTTTTAAATATATTTTCCTCCATAAGAGATTCGCAAAAAATTTATATAAGTATATTAGTAATAAAATGTCGCAAAACAAATAATATTATATAAACAATAAGAATCTTACTTTAATTAGACTGTGAGAACACAATCAATAAGAAGTAAAATTAAATGCCTATAACGGTCGAAACTGGATCTTTAATGCTTAAATAATTCAACGTGAATTATATATATGTATACTATATAATGAGCACGAGTGTGGTATAGCAGACAGCGCACTAATCTGATATACTAGAGATCCCGGGTTACGATCCCCGGCAGAACCAAAAAATTTTCATACACTCGTAACTCCTCTCGGAAGACAATGGCAAACCACCGAGTAGTATACTTACTAGAAAACCTCCCTATTAAAAATTGCTGTTCGGAATCGGCGTTTAAAGTTTAAACTGTAGGTCTCCATATACGTTGTATACGATCAGCGTGCAAAGGTATGTATATGAGAGGGAGGCACCTACACGCTGAGATAGCGTATGGCACTTGAAAAAGATACTATATATGTACATGCATATTTATTATATTTATGCATGTACATATATAGTATATATATAATTCGCATTGAATTATTTAAGCATTAAAGATCTAGTTTTGACCGTTATAGGCAAATAATATAATCTTTACAAGGAGAAAAAAGCTTTTATTGGAAAAACTATTGGAAATTTTTTATTAAATCTATACCATAAGCGATCACCGACAAAAATTGGTCGTGGTGCTGGAATTCCTAAGCTCGAGTAATATTGCTGCGCAAATAGCTCGACGTCATTAGTGTACTTTCTTTTCCACTTAGTCCGTCTATTTTGGAACCATATCTTTATCTGTAAAAGTTAAGAGAGGTTTACGCGTGATGCATGAAATATGGAAGTTTGTCAATTAATTAAAGTATTTAGGAGGCTAATTATTGAGATCAAGTATTAATTGTAAATTTATATTCAAAAAGTTATTGCTGGTGCTTCCGATCATATAAGTTTTAATGTCGTTTTTGATAATACGTATATGCCACAATCAACATAAATAAATCTAAATAAAAATGAAATAGAATGGTATTATATAACTGTCTATCAATTAATACGAGATTTATTGATACGGATGAATACATTTTAAATTTCTACTTAGATCGATTTTATATATTTCAGATCTATTTATAAAATTGCTAAAAAATGTTGTTCTTTTTATAGTTCAATTTTAATGAACAGTAGCATATTGTACACGGAGAGAATTTTCTTTTAAAATTTATCCTGGAAATATGATAGCTGTGATACAATATTTTTAAGATTTTTACCATGCACTTCAGTAAAATTAATCAAACTTATTTTATACTTTATTGTAGTTTTATTAATGAGTGAGAGAGATTTCTATCAAAATTCTTCGAAATACAATGTTGTCCCACGACTATCATATTTTCAGAGTAAACCTTGAGAAAAAATTCTCTCCGTGTAGAAAAATAATGCCATCTTTTATACAGATCAAAATTTCTCAAAAAGTGTCTACCAGCAGTACCAGCCAGTTCGCGAACATAAGGAGCCGACGACGTATTCTAATTAAAAAATCGACGCCTCTCCGGTTCGTCGCCTCGACGGCGCGCAACAGCCGTCGCTCGGTACATTTTGTTCCGCGGCGGATGCAAGCCTCGCGACGACGAAACGTACGAGATGACTGAAACGTGCGAGAAGGGGAAAATAGGGGCTCTCCCGAACTGGCTCGTTAACTCCGAGAAATATTGTGACAGTTATGTCTGCGACACGACGCGTCTCTTTCTTGCCTCTGATCTGTCGTCCGATCGTTCTTCCTTTCGACCGCGATTGCAGAGATAATTATCCGGCTCGTTCGCGATATTTCGACCGGCGCTGGCAATTATTGCCGGCAAGTAACTGTGCGATGACGGCGTGGCACAATCTCTGCAATGGCGAGTATTCTGAGGGTGCGGGTCATAAATTAATTAATTTAAAGCGCGGGCGAGTATTAAGCGCATGCTACAAAGTGCATTGCCGAGACTTACGCAACCATTGCACTTTGCCAGCTTTGCGGAGGAATCGTCATGTTAGAAAATTATAGTCTGCTCTTTCTGGACCGGTTAATATTAGAAGATAATATTACAGAAAGTGGCATGATTATGGACGATGCAGGAATAAGAGCAAGATATCACAACGAAAAAAGAAAATTGTAGAATGCGTTTAGACTAACGAATGAAAACTATTAAATTATTGTAAATATAATATTGATAACTTATGAAATAATTTTTAATATTCTGTGTGCTTTAAATTATACAAAACATTTTTGCGTAAAGCTTTCTTTTTATTTTATTTTAAGTACTATGGTCGAGTTCCGGTTACGGATAAAAAAAACCGTCTGAAAAGGTTAAATACATGACAAAAAGCTTCCTCCCATATCAGTTCACGAGAAAGAAGGGTAGAAGTGCTAATTGGTTTTAAAGGACGATCCTCCCCCATGGCGCCACGACTTGGCGCCTGCACATATGGTGCTCCATAGGCTCATAATTTAGAATTAGTTGATTTTAAAGAACTCAAAGTACAACAGACTTAAACTCCTTCAGGTGTTGAGGAAGGTCTACTCGGAAGTCAAACTCATTATCGCGATTTATTGAGTACAATATCCTGTTTTCGGGTATAACTGTTTCAATCTTCTCCGTTCTGTTCCAATTAAACTTGTTTATGATTAGTGAACTCTATAACATACTGAAAAGCTTGCAAGGAGAAAACAATCCCCAGGCTCGGTTGTTTCCACGGTGGCAAGCTTTCCAGTACGTATATTATAGAGTTCACTGTTTATTCTAGTTCTGTTCATGATGTTTCAAGAGAAATATTTCGACGCACTGTTTGCAGAATTGGATATGTATATAAATTTACACTGAAATATTTAAACACATTATGATTTTCTTTGACCGAAAATAGGATTTCTCTTACTTAATTAGACTTATTATCCAATTCCGTATTATAACTGTTTATGACATGAAGCTTAATATAGGAATATACTGGACTGGTTGGCGGCGGAATTATAGTGTTTGTAAGGATTAGGATAAGAAGACAGCTAATATTTAGCCTTGAAAATTGCAATATATATAATATTATAATGTAGTTTCTTTTAAAAAGAAAAATTAATTTAAGAAGAAAATAAAATATTTACTTGTGTTTCCGTGAGCTTTAAATTTTTGCTCAGCTGCAACCGTTTTGCCACACTCAAATATTTATTTCTTTCGAATTCCGCCTCCAAGGATTTAATTTGCGTGGCGGTGAACGCTGTGCGTGGTCTCTTCTTCCTTTCATCGTCGCTAATAGCGGCGACAGTCTTCTCCTGGATATCCCTGTCCGCGCTCGTAGTTGAATTCGCGCCACTACTGCTGGTGCACGCCTCTGTAAAAATATTCCGTCCCTTACATATCGGAGTAAGGCCCGGTTGCACCAACGTTACTTTGACTTTAAGCGAAACTTAAAACTCTCTCTGTCTCATTTTAAAGCGAAAAAGAGACAGACGGAGAGAGTTTTAAGCTTCACTTATAAAATCAAAATAACATTGATGCAATCGGGCCTAAGTAATACGAACAAAACAGCTCTGCTAAAACAGAAGCTCTTTAAGATAAAAGCTCTATACTCTCCAAATTATTCTGCAAGCAATTAATGAAAAATCAGTAAACTAACAATTTAACTATAAATATACATAGATCTGAAAATGATTTTATTAGACTATCAAAATAATTATATGGAACACTTAAGCTGGTTGCTAGAAACCTGGTAGAAATTTCATGCATTTTTTGAGCAGTTACTAAACAGTTACACCAACTTCTGTCTAGTAACTGAGAAGGAAAACTACTTAGGATCCCAATCAGGATGTAACACTTTGTTTGCAGCATACAAAAGTTGCGTAAAATCTGAATCCATTTACTGAATAGAAATACAACAAATAATGAATATTAAATAGATTAATAAGCAAGCCAACTGCTTGTGAAATGGACAGAATAAAACTCTATCAAGTTCTTGTCCATTTCCTACTGAGTATTGGCATAATTAATGAGAATACAGTAATATTAGATAGTAACTGGATAGGTGTCTAGGAAAACTGCATACATTTCTACCAGAGAATATCAAAATTTTTTGCAACATTGTTCATTATGCTTCAGTTTCCTACATGATTATTTTAATGGTTCAACAGAATTATTTTCAAATGTGTATCTAGTTAAATTTTTAGATACTTTAGCAAAATCATTTTTTCCGTGACACATGTATCGACAATATTTATGCGACGCATTATTTAAATGCTTTTTTGACAAACGAATGCCATATATCGGAAGTAAATCATCTAAAATATGACTCGATTATTAAGTGCTGCAAATTATGAAACGCAAGTTCCTCGACATGGGAAGGAGAAAGTATCAAAACGGGATGAAAATAATTGATGCGAGCATAGAAATCGCGTCATCATTCATTCACAACCTATTGTGTATCTCGCGGACACTATATCTTTATCCTTTTAATCGCTTCTAAAAGAAGGGAATAATACTCGTAAACCCATGCTGTTGAGTGCGAGCGAACTCCAATTACCCCCATGGAATCCTCTTTCTCATCAATCTCGTGACTTTTTGTACGTCGAGTTGTTTATATTTATATTTATCCCGGCTTACAAGACTTGCCGTACACGACGTCGAGCCGCGTGTCATGAAAAATGTCTTCGGGCTTGCTTTTAGGTGGTTAGAAACAAGACCGCGGTCTCTTAAGCGTCGGAGGATCATCTTCTAATTATCTGCCCATTCGTCATCCGACGAAAAAGTGTGGCATCAGCCGACTGAGCTTTCACGCTTTCGACGAACGCTGAGAATATTATGCTACTAATATTGATCGTCGTTGAAATAATCTCGAGAATTTTTCAACAGCTTTTCAAATGATTTATTTTTTCTAAACAGCAGTGTTAATATATTAATTTGAAATATTAATTTCAAAAAAATATAATTTATTAATTATATGTAAATAATATTAAGATTACAAGTTGAAAATTGAAATTATAATTATATCTATTAAGGCTAATAGTCCGTTCTTATTTAAAATTTTAAATAATATCTTGAGCTGTTAATATAGTTTTATTAGTGATTGGTTTATGACATTTTAAGACTGTACTCTTAAAATGATTTTAAATATAAAATCGACTATTAATAAACCCGGCCTAAAAAATTAGAATAAAATTGAGAATAAAAACTGACAATTATAAAATCTTTAAAATAAAAACAATACCTACTCCATAATTATTTAAATCCATTGGCATAAGTTGTTTTAATAGAAAACCATTCGACTTACGGGATGAAAAACGGGAAAGTTCAACTTATGGTTCAGGTGGTTTCTTCTCGTGCGGTAATAAATATTCCGCAAAAGCTATTCGCGGCGACATTATGCCAAGAAGCGCCGTTTACTGGCTACTAATTGTCAGATGGCGACGTAATTGTCGCGTTTCTCGCGCCTTTTTCGTGGCTTCCCCGCCTATAGTCGAATTACAGAATTGTCGGCTAAAACTGTACCGTCTCTAATTCACCTCGCGCGAAACGCACTACTGACGTGCACATTCGATGTAGTTATCCACATCCCAAAAGAAAATCATGTCAGCTGTTGTGGTAATATTTCGTTTCTGGATCACTATATCTTTTAGATACACAACATTTGCAGAATACAATATTGAAACTCCGTATAAAAACTTCAAATTTCTTTTTGTCTTAACAAACATTAACTTTTTTCATATTCCTCAAATGTTTAATTTAAAAAAAATTGTTCAATTACTTTAAACAAAGATATATTAATTTATAGTACACTGAATCCGTGAATATCAATTAAGCATAAAGATAAGTTGATCAAAATTATTTAACTTTTACATAAATGTATATTTGTTACTATGTGTATATTTATTACTATAAATTATTAAATGATTTTAATCAGCTTGTATTTATTTAAGAACATATAACTCTAAAATTAAATAACATTTTGGCAGATTATTGGTTACTTATAATATACATATTCATATAATATACAATATAGATAGATATTAAGATTAAGTTTAGTGGATTAGTCCTTTGACAATGCATATTTAATTATCACAACCTGCTCACAACCGGAAGCACACAGAAAGAAGGGGAAGAAAAGAGACTACAAAGAGCGAGTCTCGCACGGCTCATTTGTCGTCGAGTTTCTGACTCGGTTGCATTGACGAACGAGCTCTAGAAAGCAGTAGAAAAGGATTGGTGCAGAGGAAACGACCGCAAAAAGGAGTCGACAACACGGAGGGCGAAGAAGAGCGACGCTCGAGGAACAGGGACACGTTAAACGCGTCGCGGAAATAGAATACCACGCCTTCTAGTTTACCTAATTGCCGCGAGCCATGGCGAACTTGTCCCCTAATTATTCGGTGACGAATGGCACGAGAGCAGAAGTACGAGATAAAGCGCGGCCAAATCTCATTCTGACGTTGCTGGCCACTTCATACTCGGCATCAACCCCGAGTATAATTAATTTATACGCGAGTCGCGAAGATTGGCAAATCTGCCTCGAAGATGACTTTATGATTGGGATCCTTTGTTGCCAGTCAAGATCTTAATGATATCCAAACAGTTAAATTACTTATCGATTATTAACAAACTTATTAATAACATAAGCAAGAAAATATATCCAGAAATTCATTCTAACACTTCTAAATATCTAAAGACGTTAGATATTTAATACTTCAATTTCTACAATACATTCATAACGTCGATAATATTTTGAGAGATATAATATCCAAGTAAAAGATTAAAAATATAGTGAAAAAGATGTCGTATATGAATGCAAAATTGTTGCTCGATATCATAATAGGCTCATTCAAGAAATGCTTCTCTCGTATCATCCCTTGCTCTTTATGTTGTTCTTTCACGAAGATTTACGTTGACGGCTTTGTAGTTGGACGCGACGTCCCACATGTCTCAGTCTTAACGGCGCAAACGAGAATTGTCCTCTCCTTAGATCTCGAATTTATCGTGTCGGCCATTACGGTGTGTAAATCACGACGTGGTTACGTGCCCTCGGATGGAAATTAGTCGTTGAAGTCCTCGAAGGCGTGTATGAGATACCGCAGAATTAAGTCGCTCGACTCTCATTAATTATACGTAAAACATAAACTGGTTCTCCATTATGCCACGTCGGATAACTGAAATACGTTAAATGCAATGCTGTTTCTAGCGACCGTATTTTGGCAGTAATTGTTCTCGGAAATAATTTCATGTGAAGATTTGCTAAACAAATTACAGTGGTATAGTATAATGAACTATGTATAGAAATAATAAATGAACCATTATGTCTTAAAAGAAGTTTTCGTTTCTTGGACTTTCAAGTTTATAAAGTTACAATACAAAATGTAAACAATTCTAATGATTATAAGCACAATTTTGAAAATAATATTTCAGAAAAATTATGGACTAGTTTCACCAGCACCGTTCTTTTACACTTAACTGCAAAGAGAGAGTTGTTGCATGGCAGAATTAGCAGGGGAGACAGATAAATAGTGGACGAAGAGCAGAAACATTGAGTAGGCGTGGAGCCTGCAGGAAGTAATGGATCAAACTCACAGGCGACAGTCCTCTCTGCGCGATCTTACAGATTCGTTACCGCAAGAGAAGTCTCATGTAGATTTTATAACAATTAGTTTCTCTAATATCCGTAATAATGTTGCCAGCCGATGCAAAATCGGTCCCGGCGGTATACAATTCTCGAGTTCAAAGACTCGAAGTAATCTTTGAAGATTCACGTATACTTGCGCTATCATTATTTAAGAAGACTACTTTTATTTCCTATTAACCATCAAGATTTTATGGATAATAAATGTCATGAATGAAAATTCGGAAAAACTTCCTGACGATATATAGGCAATGTTAAATAATTATATAAAATTTTGCTTTTCAAAGATAATCTTGCTCATTATTTGTATTTTGCTAAACGTGAAGTAACTTCTATTTTAAAGTCAAAATTTCTAAAAAACTTCTTACTCAACTATATTATTTATATAATTATTATTTGTATAAACATTATAATCTCGGAAAAGAATATAATGTTTATAAATTTGACTATCTTTAACAGAATTGTTAAAATATAAAATTATTTTTAAATTTGCGTAACTATAATACGGTAATATATAGATATCATTAACATTTAATTGAACAATTTCGATGCATCCGACATATTAACAATGTTTAACTGTTAAAAACTGATTAAAAACCGGTGTTGCTACCGATGAATATGGTTTTATCTGATTAAACAAATACATATGTGCACTAAACACTTCTCAATGAGATTATAATACTTGCAATAATGGCGATAATTATTTGGCGATAAGCATTTGCAATAATTGTTATAAAATTGAAATATTGCCATAATTTTCATTATATCTGTTTTTGACAAAAGGACTTGATAAATTAAGTGATTTAATTATCACTTGATCAGTTAAGTGACAAAATAAACACAAGTGTTTTATACCTGTGTAACGTGCAAATTCTGGCTTTGGCATTAAATTCATATAAGCAAATTTACTCTTTGCATATATGTATCCATGTAATAAAATGCTAGGCTATTAAATATTTAACAAATTATTTAAAATGTGTACTTAAAAAATAAAATGTATATATTTCCGTTATTTATTTAGGCACTTGAATATATTCTATTATAATAAATAAGTCGAAAAAGTACTTCTAATTCAATGTTGATCCTAATCAATTTTGTGATCTTAAATAATGATTTAAACATGTAAAAAAATGCAATTAGGATATAGTTATAATTATTTTTTTTATTATTAATGCCAACTTGTATATATATCTTGGGAAAATATTCTCTTTTTACTTTAATTTAAAGCAACAGGAAAGGAAAAATATTCTTTTAAATAGAATATTTTACGTTATAGATATTTATGCGATTTTGTTAGAAAATGTAATAGAGCGTAATGATTTTAATTAAACTCACCATAATATATTTCTGGTTCAGGAGATGTCGAGCATACTATGTCGGTATCGTCGAGTTCGATTTCTTCCGCCATTGACATGGATGAATCAGGTGCAACAAGCATTCTTGTCTCCAATTCATTACCTGCAAATGTGATTATTTTATTTGATTCTTATCACGGATTGTGTCACGTCAATATTGTTTACAAAATCTGTTTGAAATTTAAAAAATTCACACTTTGCCACAAAATTATCTTCAATTGTATCAAGATCTTGATTAAAAATGTATTCAAAAAATTGATCTTTATATCACATTATATGCATGGGTGTATCGTGAAATTTTTTTCGGAAGGGTTTTCTATCAATCAAGGGATGTACAGTACACCAATCGGAATGACAACAAAAAAAAAAAGGATTTTGGTATTACACAATGAAAAGAAAGTCAATGTACCAATTTTGTTGTGATTTACAACAATTTTTAACATTAATGAATTCCATTTGGATATTTTTATAACTTTTAATGTCTCTTCGTACATCTTTTTGAAGAGGAAAAATGTTTACGTTTTGTACATTATGTAATTTTTACTTATTTTATTAAAGACATTTTTTTAAAAGAAAAACAATATAGCTACTACAAGCAAAATGTTTAATTCTTTAATATTGTTATTGTATGTTCGAACTAATATAAAAAATTGCTTATATGATCTTATAACAAAAAGAAAAAAATATTTTATGTAACAGCAAAAGCTCACACAAAGTCAAAAGTAAAGTTGTATGTTGTTTATAATTAAAAATAAAAGAGAAATTTCGATAAAGTACATCGCTTAATTGGCCAATTTAAAATGAAATATTCTCATTAGTAAAGCATGAAAAATTATTAGGCATCGACCGATGTGAGTGGATGTATGCTATGGATGTGCGCTAACGAGACCCTCTCAAAATGAAATAATTAATAAAAAATTTCGGGGGAGGGGAGATTGAACCCCCCCCCCCCCATGATTATATGTAATAAATGATTTATAATATATTTAATAGAAAATACAATTTTTAAAAATTACATTATGAAGACATTTTTTAACAATAATAGAATAATTCAAGAATTTGTTGAATAAAAGCGAAATAGAAATAAACTATTTGTTATCTTTTTCTGTAAATGATTAACACTCAATTGTAATAGAGATTAGGAAACAATTTAATTATTACTCACTTTCTTGGTAAAGCAAAGACAAATCGGTTCGTTGTGGGAATTTATTTTCTTCTTCATCTATCTTGCTCGGTCTTGCTAGTAATCTTTCGATGCTGAAAGAACATAATCTCGGATTTTCCGCAGAATCGCTCGTTTCCTTCGATGAGTCTGATTTTTTCATCTCTTCATCGGACATCTTGCGTTTTGTCAAAACAACACTCAGAATATTCTGCTAGTAACATAAAATCGTCTTTTTGATATTCTCGAGTAAATATTTCGCACCCATTGAAATGTATTCTACATCTGATAGATTAATTTTTCAAGGATTACATTTTCAAGTTCTTTTTATCACAATCTTAATATCACTTAAAAAAAGACCCGCTTTAAGCGTTGTCTACAATGAACAGTAGCAGTAGAGGACGTAGGCACGTCGAGAATAAGCTGATTTTCCGGCCCAGCCAGAAATGGTTGATCTATCAACGTCAAATCGATGCTGATTCAACGTCGTTCAACGTCAAATCGATGTTAATTCAATATTAGTCGACGTTAATTCGATATTGAGCGCTCAATCACTTGTAGCTGAAGATGTAATAGGGCGTAGATTAAGTCCGTAAGCGAAATAGATTTTAACCATTTTGCTTACGGACTTACTCTACACCCTATTATATCTCCAGCTACAGTCGAATTAACATCGATTTGACGTCGAGCGACGTTGAATCAGCATCGATTTGACATTAATCGATCAACCATTTCTGGCTGGGCCGGAAAACCAGCTTATTCCCGATGTGTCTACAGCCTCTACTGCTACTGTTCATTGTAGACGTTTTACACTACATACTTATAATTAATCGACGTCCCAAGAATTAGGCAATTGATGATAGAACTTCACTGAAATTTAATTACACAATTTCGGTGTTTCACTCATTCTCTTTATCAGTTAATATGTATATGTTACGTTTACATTTTAATTAAAATATGAAAAAAACATAAGAAAACGATTATACTAACACAATAACCAAAAGATTATACTAACAATAATCAAAAGGTAAGAACCACCAAGGAGTTACATTGGTACCCCTCAATGTGTTCGAAAGATTAGAGCCGAAACCAGCGACTGTTTTGTCGGGGTTACTCACGGTGTCCACAATATTTTTTTGGCACTCAAGTCAAATTCTTCGTTTCTTGAGGCGGTATCCTAAAGCCACGTGCTCACGACGTCATCGCGAGATCGACCAATCGCACGAACTTCTGGGCGGATCTTGGCAAACACGTGCGTTTCTGGAAGAAGCTTTTAATGATCTTGTATCGCGAGACGGTAGCGACCACTAAACGGTGGTAATGAGGCGACTATAAATTTCTGTCACTGCCACGGAACGCCGTTTAATAATTATGATAGGTAGCAGATGCGATGCGAAATTAATTTAGTTATAAAGCTTAATAATTTAACAGAAAGAGCAGAAAAAAGGGGATCATAGATTCTGACTACAAAACTATGAATAGTACATTTAAATAACAATGGCTAGATTAGACTTGAATTTAAAAAATATTTTTGTACATTATTGTTATATTAAAATAAATTTAATTACGTATTTATTTAATTAAAGCGTAGCAGAAGCAAAGCTTACAAAAATATATTGATTATCCATATATCATTCATAAATATTTATAATAACTCTATATTATTATTAAAACATCTAATAAATAATTCAATAACGTGATATTTAATACATTTGATAAATTCGTGTCATTCATGTCATTTAAAAATCACTATTTCGGTGATTATTTGACGTTAATGATAATTTTTATGAAAATCATCTCTCGTGATGCACACATTTACAAATTATCATATATAATAATGAGATCATTTTGAGTACGTTGCCTAAAATACGAAAAACTAGGCCTTCGAAGTATTATTAGACATCGTTAAGAAGCGGTGTCCCATGAATATTCATGAATTTATCATACCGCTATTTGACATACTTGTTCCTTCATTGATGAATAATTAATGAAATTATTTTAATGATGATACATAAGATGAATCAATATACAAAGATAACAAAATAAATTATATAAATTTCTTTCAAAATATATAACAGTTAATACAACCTGCTTACAATTTCATTGCACAAATCAATTTCTTAAATCATTATATTTTTTAAATAATTTTCAAGCTAAAATATAATTTAAATTCTTTAATTACGATAAGAAGTAATTTTTTTACATAAAATTATTTCTAAAAATATTTGCTTGGATCAAAGATCGAGAACTATTTTATTTGATTTAAAGCAAGAATTTTGTGAAGCGCGGACGAAGAGTTCTCTAGAAACTGTCAATGGGTGTGACTGCAAGATCATGTTACCGATGTATAGTACCACTCTGATAGGCTGTTGCCGTTTCACGTTCAGAAAATTGAAACCTTCGCGGTGGTTAGTCAGCCAAAATGTTTGTTAATTTCACGCTTAATTGGCAAGTGGCAAGTGCAACAGTTAAAATATATCTTCATTTCTCTTAAACACATTTGTCGCATGATGCGCGACTCGGAACGGCAGGTTCCTCGAACATATTTTTGGAGTCATGTTTCAACACATGAAAAATCTTCGCTGTATTCGCACTCATATGTATGTTAATTATGTATACATACATATATATATATATATATATATACACATGTATATTATACATATATAAAGTTGATATTGCGCCATGTTCAATACGTAAATATTAGAAAGCTATTAAATGTAGTCTAATATAAATTACCAACACTACCATAAATATATATACGTGCATATTTCGTTAAGTTCACGGAAAAGGATTTAATTTAATGAAAACGAGATAATGCCATGAACCTTTGTTTATTTCCTTAGGCATTAAAAGACAGACCTGCATCCTTTATATTCTGTGCTCAATTATTATTTTCAGAAAAAATAACCATCCCTAATTATATTATTACTTTCACAAAGACTTTTACATGTATGGATTCCGGTATCTAGTTATTTTGACTATGCGTGTAATTATCTTGACTCATAATTACACTCCTATTATGCTATTAAATATAATGAAAAAAATAATAAATCAATAGAGTAGTCTCACGCGAAGTGTCACGCGCAAGTGTTACACGCGCAAGACACAGACCGTGTATCTGTACACTAATAATATCAACAAAAAATATATTCGTTGAACATTAATATAATTAATCTAATCATTATTTTTCTTTAACAACACTCGGATAACATTCCATTATTTTATCCGAGATTGAAAAGATTTAAATCTAATAAAAGAAAAAAGAAAAGGAGAACAAACTCACATCATTTCATCAAACTTATAATAAAAATAACTGACATTAAAATTTAAAATATCTAAAATCAAGACATTCCCGAAACTTTTGTGATTTGCACATTAGTTTTTACGAACCTTTTCGCATTTGGTCCATGTATCACTTGTGGCTCAATACTTCCACGATCTTTTCTCTCATGAAATGTACATTATCATTTATTATAATGCACTGATGTTACATTTTAGCATTATAATAAACGTTATATTACGATAAGAATCCACAGATAATGTTCACATTATTGCTAATTGTGAAATATTAATTAATAAATATTCATTCTTGCAATGCTACTGACGAACTTGTGTTACCATGATAGAACTCGCTCGTTAAAACTTAATGCTTGTGCATTATTAATAAAGAATATGTTGCAGATAAGTTTTGGCGTTATACAACAAAGAGTGAGAAGTGTTGAATATTAATTACAACATAACGATTTATATAACGAGAATAGTAACTGATTGAATAGCGATTGCTTGCAACGCTATTCCTTGCTGTGACTGGAGCGAGATTTGTGTTCCTTTACATTTGCTGCGTAGAGTTACCATTCCAAGTATTATTCTCATCATTATCATCCCCACCTGAATGTAGTCTGTGTATATTCCCTTGCGCTCTGATTGTTGTCCCTCCTTGATTACCCAAGTATCTTCTAAACAAACTGTATCATGAATAGAACGTTTATTTAATACATGAAATATATATGTATATATATATATATATATATATATATATATAAACATTAAATTAATTACATGTTTTATATACAATTTTGTTAAATATATTCAAATACAATGCAAATGCTTGTAGCTTTATAATCACGCTTGTGTATGCAAGACAGTTTAACATGTGTTTATTGGAAAAAACCTACCCCGAAGATTGAATTACATTTCGCTGATTTGGTGAAATAGCTCTGTCGGGGTTGTTTGTCGTTTCTACGGAATCATTATTGGAATCGCCACTTTGATTCGCACCTCCGTTAGTGCCGGAAAAGTAACCTACTATATAATTGTAAATACGAATAACGGGTGTGAAAAAGGACCATATGAAGCGTGAGAAGAATCCAACATCTTGTGTTGAAGTTACCACTGCCGTGACATTAGACTGAAAAAATATAAGAAAATATAAAGTGAATATAATTAAAAGTATAATACTTTACAAAAGAAAATCTTATTCTATTTACATTTTTCAAAGGAAGAATTAAAATAACGGCGGTCGGAACCAATTCTAATTCCAACAGAGTTTTGTCATTTTCCTCATTAGTCAATTCTCTTCTAGGAAATGATGTCGACATGGCGAACTGTCGGAAGGGTAGATTGATGTTTTCGGTAACGTAGGTGCGTAAGGTGCGCAAAGTATCGGATGGTTCAAATTGTCCTGTATGAGAATTGCCGGATGGTAATCTAAATTGAATTCTGGTAACTGTGGCGTTACTAGGTGTTGGATTATATTTGGGTTGTTCTTGATTCTGTGGTTGTTGTACTTGTTGCTGTTGAAGAAAATAAAAAAAACTGTTAAAAAAAACTGTTAAAAAAAACTTTTAGTTAATTCTAATTAAATATAAAAATCATTAACGATTAAAATGATTAAAATGATATTAACCTGTAGAGCAAGTTCCTTTTGTTTTCGTTCTATTTTATCTTGAGCGATTTGTTGCCTGACTTTTTCACGAGCTGCAGCCTCTGCAGCCTTCTCTCGCATCCTTTCTTCATGAGCTTGCTTTATTTCTAACTCTTGCTGCATTTGCCGCATTTTTTGCACATCGCGTCCCATCTTGCGTCGTTCAATTTCACGTTCTCGGTCCTTTTTCTGCTCCTCGTCTAGTCGTTGTTTTCGTTGGAGCTCAATTAACTGTCGTGCTCTTTCAATCTTTTCCTAGAAATGTGAGACAGATATAATTTGTCATTAAAACATTACATAAATATCCTTGATAAATAAATTCACATACCTCAGCTGTCAATTCTTTATTTTGATTATCTTGTTTAGTTTCGACATTTATTTTTGCTGACGCTTCATTATTGTCTTGATTCCCTGTGTTTAACGAAGTTGCAGATTTTGCTGCGTCTTCCGTGACATAGTTTTCGTTATTTGAACTATCTACTGATGTAACAGACTCTGTTGTACCAGAAGTTAAATCTGCATTTGGATTGGAATTATTATCATTTATGTTAGATGTAGTCTCAATGACATTGTTATTACTGCTGCTACTGGCAGCTGTAGCTTTTTGTTCTGCGTCAATCAAGTTTAATGAAGATTGCTTATTACTCTTTCCTGCCTTCATAAGTACATTATCAATTTTGGATGCTAATTCAGATGCAGTTGCACTACCAGCAATAATTTCCAGTGGTGTACCATTTTCTCCGATGAAAAATAAGGATGGTACTGGTACTAATTGATCTGATTGTTAAATTTAAAGAAAATTTTAAAATATGATAAACATAAATAATACTAAAAACAGAAAGATAAATGTTATTATAATATGATAAACTTAATATTAAAACAGAAATATGTAAATGTTATATAAAAGGATACAAATTTGCGCAAAGAATCTATAAGCTTCGGATCCACTCTCTAATCTTA